CAAGCATATAGCTTTGCCTAAAAATGTTTAAGATCACAATCTTATATCTCGCACATTGAAGGGAAAGAAAGGAGAATAAATAATTGAAGAGATTGATATGACTTAATTTTAAAGCGTCAAAAAGCAATATGTAAAGAAAGAATGACTAATGATTTACCGTTTATACATATGCAGCGAATGTCTTTGTTATAAGTAGAGCAACTTTGATATTTGTCAACAGACTTCGGATCACCACGACTACCACCACCACCACAAAGCGAAACTATCAGGGCACCACTTTATCGGACAATAGAAGAAAGACTTGCATCATTTGAAAACTTTCCTAGCGACAACAGCATTCCTCATCAACAACTTGCAGAAGCAGGTTTATATTTCACTGGTAAATTGATATGTGTTTTCAGCTTTTACATTGTCCAACATTATTTCTCCGACTAAATGGTAATTATTACAGTTCTGTTTTGCTATGCTGTTTGATAGAAATGACTTTTATTGTGCTTTAAGAAATTTTAAGTTTATTTGGTTGTTAACATTCAACATGATTATAAATTTGTTTAAAAACGGGTAGAATTCTGTATTAAATCGTACGAATACAGATTTAATTTTTATTGAAAAAAAGTTACTGTTTGCAATATTTAAGGGAGTGCAACAAACTAAGCGTTGACTGGTTACAAATTTATTGAGCCTGCCAATATCCAAAAGTACACTTTTAAATGTAGAAACAAAAGTGGTTATATAAACGTTTTAATAATTACAAGTATTACGACCAACATAATCTATTAGGTATTTTTTATATGGAAATTTTATTAACAGTATAATATATGAAAATTATATGTTAATTAAAACGTAATTTGTTTTTTCAATGTAATATCAAAGCTTTGATTTCAAGGACAAAGTGATCTGTGTCGATGTTTCCATTGTAATGGTGGTTTAAAGGACTGGAGTTTTGGAGATGACCCCATCAAAGAGCACGCTAGATACTTTCCTAACTGTTCTTATATAAACAGTTTAGAAGGACAACAATATGTGCAGTCCTTGCAACCACGTGGATTAGAAAACGAACTCATATGCTGCAGAAATGTAAAAGTTATTACTTGTTTTATTAGAATATGAACTAAACACCTAAAGCTGTTTCTGTGAATATGAATGATGCTGACAAAATTGACACATTAATATTCATAATAAAGCACGTAAAATATATTATAACGTAATGAGTTGCCACAAACAGCAACAACACCATAGCATAATTTGAAATCATAATTAATTCTAAAGAGCATGTCATCGTTGTGCTCGTCTTATAAATAATGCATGTCGAAGGTTTTGCTCTACCAGCATCATTTGGAAATTGTCATAATATTAATGCAGTGTAAAACTAAAATAGTATGTATAATTATATTCTATTTTTGGTAAAATTGACACAATTTGGGAAAACAAATTATATTGATTGCTTTTACTTTCCTGTTGTTAAAATGGTTATTATCAAATAAATGTTAAAAAGCTTGAATTAACGGTCCACTGCACTGTGTCGCCATCTGTATATAAAGGTAAAAATATGTTATTTTTGTTTCGAAGGATGACATAGGCGGCTATTATACATCAAGTCAGCGATTGGATCGGACAGGAAATATTACTGAAAGTATGTGCATTTATATATTTTGTATATACTAGAAGATAATGAAAACGGTGTTATATGATTTTTTCCCAGTAAATCAAGTAAAGTAAGGTTTCAGAAAACGTGCGCGCATGCATGCTTGAGTGCGTTTGTTTGTGATAAGTTCTTATATTTTTGTTTTTATTTTCATAAATCGAATCTAAAGAATCAAAACAACTCAGATTTAGTAAGACTCTATCATGCTTCTTTAAAATGTCTTGAGAGAATCTAGATAAGTTTTACTTTGTAATATATGCTTCTGCAGATGTTCGAATACATGCATAAATTCAAGACAATATTACACTTGAATGTGATTCTGAAAGAAATTGTTAGTCGTATGCAACACATGTTATGATTGGATATATAGTTTGTATTTGACAAAGTATACATGTATACATTGATATATAAGGGCTATTGTTGGTGTCTCTTGATATCATATCATTTGTATTGGACTCTCATTGACTTAACTAAATTTAGTCGCAATCGCACCTCGTGGCATCCGGTTCTATTAAGACAATTCGAATCAAATTCAAAATAAAGTTCACCTAAAATAAACATATTTTCTATGTACAAAGATAAATAATTCCAATTTACTACGCACATGTCTTTAAACCATTTTCTTTGTTTTTTATCCTTTTTCCATTTTTACAGCTATGAGGATGATGTGTTTACGTTTTATTTAAATATATTCGTTCAGTACTTTCAGGTGATCACTGTAATTCAGTCTTCAGTCAAGTTATCTATATTATAATCTCGTAACGGTAATTTAAAACGCATACTTTTAATTGATAGAAACTGGGGAGCAGACGCTTGTCTGCACGTATTTTATCAGAAAATTAATAAATATTTATATACATTTAGTAAGGAACTTAAAGGTGAGGTGCAACAAGAGGTTAAAGAGATAATGAACAAACAGAGCAAGGAGGCAAACTAGTTAAATAATGTCCTAATAAAAGTAGGAAATGATAACTTTGCGGCGATTGTATACTAAGTCATCGGGATATTAAGCTCGTTGATTTATTGTCATATATCTGGTAGCACGAATTTTATTTTTCAATACATCAAATTGTGCTTTCAGGAGAGGACATATGTTGTTTTGTGAATGATGGTTGTATAAAAGGTGGGAGACTCTGTGATAAAACTATAGGAGAACAAGACACAAACTGTTCTCGTGATACTTACAGAAATAAGTCTAAAAGATACACAACTCGTCAGAGAGATGTGATCAAGGTACGTTTCTGGTAATGGTTGCAAACTATTATTTTAAATATTTGCCTTTTTTGATTAAATTTTGTTTTGTTTACATATGACCTCAGATACTCAGATATTTATTTCAAATATATAGAAATAATTTCTTGGTGCATTTTATAACATCTTGACTATATTAAATAAAGTATCATTTCTAATTCAACTACACTTGGCAGTAGGTAAAATATTTAATACCCCGACATATAAATATTTAATACTTAATAAGTAACATTATGCTGTCAACCTAACTGGCAACTAAGCTTAAATTCAAGTGAGGTAACTGCAAAAGTATTCTGTCTTTTATATCCGTTTAGGTAGCATTAAGCATTTTGGAAAAACAGTAAATATTGAATTGTGTTATTTCCGCATGCGTTTTATATTATAAACATTCACTTATCAATATCTATAATCTTGCAACTTAATGATATACTCGTATGCTGTCAACTTCTTTCTTCTTTTATAATAATTTGAAAAATTAAACAATAAAAAAACCATTGGCCTCAACTATGAACACGTTTTATCAATATATATATAATCTGAAAAGTAACAGCGGTATTGTAGATAAAGACACATTGGCACCTTACAGAATAGTGAAAGCAACATCCCTAAAGAACGCCACATATGACTAAACTGAGGCTCCGTTTAGTTGGGCATGTACATTGACGGTACCGGTCAGTGCAAGTTACTGTCCACGCCCCCTTGAAATAGAAAGTCAAGTGTAACGCATTTTATGTAAAAAATACAGGTGGAATTCCACGCTTTTTTCTATGTATTGGGCTTATCATCTTTATTCCTTGCAATTAAAAATCCATAGTAGTTGTTGTAATGTTGAGACTTACATTGTATCATATCAACAGTTTCGACCAAGTAAAATATAACGTAAATATTGAAAACACAGAAAACTGACATACATTGACGGACTCTTTTAAACATATTTACAGAATGCAAGCACTTCAGAACGCAACCAACATTCAGCTTCGCAGACAACCCAAGGAAATGGATGTATGTACATCAAATTAATCTTTTTCCCCAGAGATATGAATATATAAGACATTTAAGATTTAATATTGTAACATTTATGTTTGAACGATTTATTCCCTTCGTTCTTGCTATTTATTTGTCGATATAACATCGATGAAAACTGTAAGATTAGTGTTATAAATCCCGTAAATTACATAAATATTCTACTTTGAAAGGTTTGTGAAGTTCTAAATAGATCTGGCACGATGAATATTCAAATATGTTTATTTTGTCTGTTTTGCCATTGTGCTTGTACATATACAGTGTTAAGCAAAAATTCTAAAATTATTTCATGATACACTCCATCATTTTAAGTATTTTTTTAACTCCTGTTTATTTTCACTGTTAAATAGTATAAAAAGGGTATAGTTTCATAAACATTTAGCTCACCTATCTCGCATTGACGCAGAGATTTATGATCATAGTTGATTACCCATTGACAGACGTGATGATGTGTCTCTTTAAGATTTTAGTTCTTTACTGCGTATAAATACCTTTGCCTCAAAACCATACCGTAGGCAGGATTTAATGACTATAAGGGATTTATATTTTTGATAACAACAGCTTTATTTGCTTGCGCAGGTATATGCTGTTAACTTTTGTAAAATGTTTGGCTCTTGAGAGAAAGAGGTCGAGACTTTTACATTTATTTGTTGTTTCTTATGTTTTTTTGTTTTGTTTTTTAATTTTGAATAACTGTTATATCTTTTTTTAGCCAAATATGAGTTCTTTTACTAATTATTTTCAGTTTTCTCTTGTATTCAGTTCTTTAAATGATGCTTCAATTTTCCTGTTAATTTGGAATTGTGTTCAGAGCACGTTTTCAGCGATTATTTCTTAAATTACTTTTAAATTTAAAAACCTTAAATTGTTTTGTAATTTGTCATTTTCATTACTTGTTAAACATATTTGGTTAAAATTTCTTTGTTAAAATATTACTGCTAATGTAATTTTAAAATAATTTACACATGTTATTAAGCCCACACTCAATGCACAACAATGCAACATTTGAGTGATATCCACTTTATCATGATGATGTAAATATTTTATGTTACTTTACCGCCAGACCCTGTTAACATATATGTTAACTCAATGACAACGTTTATGCTTGCCTTTTATGTCCTTATGTTTTACATATATCCTAATGGGTAATGTTTTTGTGGCATGGCAAGCATCTGTGGGATGATTCAATAATACTCAGCATTTCATACGAATACCTTTTGATTTATTTATATTAATAATGTCATTTTTAAGCCTTAATTTCATCATAAGCCTAAAAAACATTAAAATTCCGGGATATTAGCCACAAGCGACGCTTGATTTTTTTTACCGATGTTACTTCAACGTACATTTTAAATTACTTAAAACCTGTTTAAGCCTTAGAGGTATAATTACATTTATATACTTTGTGTCTCTCTTATTTATATATTATTTTAATTTGGGGGTAAAAAAATCAACTAGCCAAAAAAGCAGTATTACCAAATCAAAAAGGTAAAGAATACTGTTGAATAGGTTACAGTTCATTTATAGCTGTGTAATCTAATATGTTTTATTCACTTTCGTTAGTTTGCACGAATATCAACACTTTCTGGAGACATAAAATTAAACCCTGGACCTTTTTAGCAGGAAAAACTGTCGTTCAATTATTCATCAATATATCAGAAGTTACGCCATACATTTGATTTATATCAAGGAAAACGTTTTGGAAACTGTGTTATGTTTTACTGAGAGCAAATTAGATTCTAATATTGAAGATACAGACATACAATTATCAGGTTTCGATTTCATGTTTCGTAACGATAAGTCGTGTCATTCTTGTTTACGTTTCATCATTCCTTTAGACCAAAACAGTTGGTCTCTTTTGAAAATATAGTTCCTGATTCTTTTTGGGTCGAAATAAAAGCGAATATAGTTCCTGATTCTTTTTGGGTCGAAATAAAAGATAAAAATCAGACTTGTTTATAATGTATATTATATAGACCTCCTCACTCTAGAACAGATTTTTGGGACAAACTAAACTCATGCTTAGAAATGGCTCTAGAACACAAAGAACACTAAATATTAGTAGAAGATTTAAATGAAGACCAGCTTAACTTGCAAAACCATATATTAAAAGATATACTTTGACAAATAACATGAAAAATATTATTAGCAGCCCGATTCGGGTAAACCAGAGAACGCAATTTCTTCTCGACCATATTGCTTTAACAAATAATTCTACGTTTTTGATTAATGTGTTTTTGAAACTGATTACGAAATAAGGGAACATTGTGGAAATTTCGCTTAAATAAAAGTTGATTTTGATTCAAATAAGCCAATTAAAACGATAGTTTGGAACTGTAAAAGGGCGATACCGCTTGGACCTTCATTAATGATATTAATTTAGATATAAATGCAGCTTGCAATACTTTTATATTGAATTCAATGATATAGTTAATCAATGTATCCCATCGTATCAAGTTTGAATTCACAATGATCGGGTGTTGTGTCACTCACGAAACCTAGGTCCGCTCCTTAAGGGTCAAGGTCACACTTCGGGGAGGGGGGGGGGAGGGGGCTGCGCAAAAATCTGTGTCCAGAGCGTAAATTCTACGGGCATAGAGGGACTTTAATATAACTCAAGCCAAATATTTTCCATAGTTAGGCGGAGTGTGTTCTAAAATTTCAGTTGTCTGTGGCAATCAATGTCACAGTTGTTGGTTAAAGGTCAAATAACGGTCAAATAACGGAATAAAACATTCATTTGCGTGTATTATAACTTCTGTATACATGGATGGATTTTAATATAACTTAGCACAAACGTTCTCTATGTTGAATTGCATTGTCTATCACAAAACTAAGGTAAATGTCAGACGAGGTCAATTGTAAAATAAAAATATTAAATTTTGCTTGTCTGCGCTGTATCTTACTAATGCTTAGGATTTATAAATTGTTGAGCTCGCCCGACTTCGAATTCGTCGCCAATCTTGTTAGCAATTTGGTGTATGTGCATCTGTTAGTCTGTACGGTCCATATTCTGCTCATTCTTCGAAGGGTTACAAAGTAGTTACATACCAATGTACAACATGATGGCCTAGTGTGAGTCATGCAAAACTCTTGAAAAAACAGGTGTCTGTAAAAAAGGCCAAGGTCTTACTTAAGGGTCAAAGGTCAAATAGCAAGGCAAAATCTTCATTTGTGAGAATAATTTCTTTTAACATAGATGGATTTAAATATAAAATATGTTCTCAATAGTGAGTTAAGTTGTCTTGCGCAAATGAAAGTCAAGATCACAAGAAACCAAATGAAAATATCAAAATTTGTTTGTCTGCACTATATTTCGCTTGTTCTTTGAAATATTATGCTTAGAGAATTTTTGTCGAGTCCAGTTCACTGAGCACGACATAGTTGTCAAAATGGCTGTTCAGTGTTTGCATGCATGCGTCCAAGCTAATCCATGCTTTAACTTCCTCGTGCACGGAGGAATTTTCAGATAACATGAATTCATTTTTTTCTTGCCCATAAATGTTCATCATGAGACTTTGTGTCATTCACATAAACCAGGTCACCGAGTCAGTGGTTAAGGTCACCTTAGTGATGCAATGTCGAGATTATACCTTTGTATAAAGAGTTTGTGTTGTGCACATCTCACCTATGTATACATCTTTCTCTTTGATTGGAAGCTCATAGGCTCAGGTTTGAATTAAGACGACTTAGCTTATACTTAGACAAAAGAACACATATGACAAATTGACCTGATATAAGTTTGACCTATCACCAATATTTACTGTCATGTTCAAATTATTGCCTTTTGCTTAATTGTCATAACTTTGTTCTTTATTATTTGATTCGTTCTTGAACAAAAGAATACAAAACTTAATTCAACTTTGGCCTAGAATCAAATGATTTTGGCAGTCGAGATCAAATATATATTTCTTCATTTTCATACAAGATTATTATTTTTATGCCCCCACCATATAATGGCTGGGGCATATAGTGTTACCCTGTTCCGTCATTCCGTTCTTCCGTCATTTCGTCCTACCGTCATTCTGTCATTCCTTCATAATAAGTTTCCGTTCATTTTCTTAGTAACATTGCACACATTTAACTCAAATTTGACATATGAATAAGTCATGAGAAAATACAGGTCAAGGTTGAATTTGGTCATGGTTCAATGTTTTTTGGCAGATTAATGCCCTTTTTACTTTGAAAATAAAATGCAATTTTCAGTTTCCGTTCATAATCTCCCTAACGGTATTACACATTCAACTCAAACATATGAATATGTCATGAGAAAATACAGGTCGATTTAAAATTTGGTCATGCTTCAATGATTTTTGGCAGAGTTATATGCCCCTTTTACTTTGAAAATAATATGAAATTTTCAGTTTCCGCTCATTATCTCCCCAACGGTATTACACATTCAACTCAAACTTGACATATGCATACGTCAAGCTAATGCGCAAGTCAAGTTCAAATTTGGTCATGGTTTAATGATTTTGGACAAAGTTATCTTTCTTGAATCTTGGAAAAAATTTGAATTTTCAGTTTCAGCACGCATACTTTTGTGGAAATGTATGTAGCCATTATTTTGGCAGAGTTATGCCCCTTTAACTTTCAAAATAAAGGAAATTTTCAGTTCCCATTCATTATCTCCCCAACAGTTGTACATATTCAACTCAAATTCAAGATATGGATATGTCATAAAAATGCATTGGTCAATTTCGAATTTGGTCATGGTTTGATGATAGCTAACAGAGTTATCCCTCTTGAACTTTTAAAAGAAAAGAAATTTTAAGTTTCCGTTCATTATCTCCCCAATGGTTGTACACATATAACTCAAAATTGACTTAAAGATACATCTTAGGAATAAGCAGTTCAAGTTTGAATTTGTTCGTGGTTCAATGATTTTGGACAAAGTTATCTTTCTTGAATCTTGGAACAATTTTGAATTTTCAGTTTCAGCACGCATACTTTTGTGAAAATGTATGTAGCCATTATTTTGGCTACAAATATGCAATATGCGATTAACAAAAGATTAACACTGAAAAGTTTCAGAGCCTTGAACTTTCTTAAAAAAATGTTTGTGTTAACATTGAATAGTTTAAAGGGCTTTGAACTTAAAATGAAAAAAAAAATAATTTGTGCAAACAAATTTGGAACTTGATATTTAATTTTTTATAACATCTGAAATTTTGGCTGCATGCGTGGGCATCCTTGGCGTGACGACACATTTCTAGTTTCTGGGAGTGTTTTTACAACATTTTTGTCCTGCTGATGTGTTGACGTTAGAAATAAGAAAAGGATTAACATTGGCCAGTAAGGCAGTGACACTTGCTTTAAATGCCACCTATTCTGTAACATAACTGTATACGCGTTCCAATTAACATTATGCTTGAAAGGTTTCTATAAAAAAGTTGGTTTGCATGTTTTTATTTTAGAAATATTTTGTTTACAGTTATACTTTAAACTTTGTATATTACTCATTTCTAGGAATAAATACAGTTAACGTACAATGACTTTTATGTTGTACACTTCTACTGACCTGTGGATAAATAAAACGAAATATTTTATTAAGTCTCAAGCATATAGCTTTACATTACAATGTTAAGATCACAATCTTATATCTCTCACATTGAAGGGGATGAAAAGAGAGTAAATAATTGAAGATATTGAAATGACTCAATTTTAAAGTGTGAAACAGCAATATGTAAAGAAAGAATATGTAAAGAAAGAATGACTAATGATTTAACGTATAAACATATGCAGCGAATGTCTTTGTTATAAGTAGAGCAACTTTGATATTTGTCAACAGCTTTCGGATCACCACCACCACTAGGCTATACAATCAGGTCACCACGTTATCGGACAATGGAAGCAAGACTTGCAACATTTGAAAACTTTCCTAGCGCCAACAACATTCCTCATCAACAATTTGCAGAAGCAGGTTTATTTTTCACTGGTAAATTGATATGTGTTTTCAGCTTTTACATTGTCCAATATCATTTCTCCGACTAAATTTTAATAATGGCAGTTCTGTTTTGCTATGCTGTTTGATAGAAATGACTTTTATTGTGCTTTAAGACATTTTAAGTTTATGTGATTGTTTCCATTCAACAGGATTATAAATTTGTTTAAAAAGCGGGTAGAA